CTGGCTTTCGGTCATTGGTGTTCAATGCATCAAATCTATTCTTTAGATGATCTCTAAATTCAGGAGGGATATATTCAAGATCATACTTTGGCTCTGAGATTAGATTAAATTAATGACAACTTTTGAATGTCAGTTGTTCTTAGCCTTGGGACCTGAGGTAGGATAGGGTGTTGTGTGTGATTTGACTGAGTGTGGTGTTCAGTGTCATAACTCCTCCTACTCTGGAGTGCCAGGGTTTGCAGGTCCCTTGAGTGCAAATGGTTAACATTGAGGGCTTGAGTCCACTCAGAGGTGACTCAGAAGAAAGACTTGGAGATCTACTTTAGAAGAATCAGCCATTGAAGACCCTATGGAGAACAGTTCTACTCTGATACACATGAGGTTACCATAAGTCAGAGTTGGTTTATTTGAGTGAGGTGGGGAAATTTACAACTGAGGAGATAAGCCGAGGGAGGCTTTGCCACTTGTCCTGGGCCACATGGTGAGCTGTAGTGGGCAGTGCCTACGCAATAAAGTCAAACTGTCTTCTCTTGCTGTCTAGGACATGAACACTGCTTATAGGACCAAAATGGACCTGCAGTCTAAGGTGGACACTCTCTTTGGGGAGGTCAGTTTCCTGAAGGATTTATATGAGATGGTGAGTTCAGCCCTTTTCCGGAATCTTTTTCTTTTCCTACATCTTACAAGGGCTGTAAATGGTGGCGGTCTGAAACCCAACATTACCCACCAGTGACCCAGCCCCCCTTAGAGTCACCCATTATCTCATTTCCGAATCCTCAAGATTTGCCAGGGGGGGCAGTGGAGATGGGGGTCAGGAGAAGGTGGAATAGTCCCTGCTTCATTATATCCTGGTCTGTCTGGGAAATGGGGATAGCACCCAGGACATGCAGGAGCACAGGCAACAAGAAATCTATGTATTAGGTGAAGATTTCCTGAGATAAGTAAACACACTCTTCCTCAGTTCTGGGAAGTGGTTAGGGCTGAGAACACTCACTAGGAGATGATAGAGGAACTTAAAGAGAGTGAAGCCAAAGACTGAATGGTGAGGGGATAATAAGCTCCTATCACTATTGATCCTACTGTTGTTTCTAACTTGGGGACATTTGCTCTGGGCCGGATGCTCTGTTAGGAGCTTTACACATATTATTGATATATTATCTCCAGTCTATAGATGACAAAACTGTGGCACCAAGATATTAAATTACTGGCTTGGTCACACAACTTTTCCATAGTAAACCCAGGTTTAATGAATGAGTCTGTGCAACTCCACAACTGGAATCTTTCCTACTTCTCCTGAGAGCTCATGTGAGACACAGGATAGAGAAAGAATACATGTGGTTTCAAGGAGAATGTATGTCCTTTCAGATAGCCAGGCTCAGGAGACAGCCAAGCAGGACAGGGGGTGTAGGAGGGGGCAGTAGAAGGAGGTGGTGTTTACAAAGCTTCTGAGCTTAGGCTATTTCTTCTCCCTGGAGGCTATATCTGGGCCCCAATACCTTTTGAAGACAACAGTTCAAAGAACTTTTCCCCAAGACTCCCACCTGGCCTAGGCTTCTGATTTCCTCAGAGAGCCTTGAATGGGCAGGCCCTGGAGGGAAGAGTGTGGAAGGAGTCACATATACTTCATGCCTCACAGGAGCTGTCCCAGATGCAGACCCACTTCAGCAAAACTGATGTCATACTGTCCATGGACAACAACCGCTCCCTGGACTTGAACAGCATCATTGATGCAGTGCGGACCCAGTATGAGCTGATTACACAGAAGAGCAAGGATGAGGCAGAGGCTCTGTACCAGACCAAGGTGAGCACTGCCTCCAGACTTTGTACTCCAGAAAAAAGCAAGACACCCTACAGTTTGCATTGTCATTCCCTTAGTTCTAAAGTAAAGCATGTTTGTAATAGAAATTTTAAAAAATATAGGTAAAGATTACCCATAATCCCACTACCACTACAAACAGGTCAGTGTATGTCCTACCAGTTCTTTGTAATTAATATTTATCGATAACTCATGTTGCCAGGTGCTGTGCTAAGTGTTTTATGTATATTACTTCATTTAATCCTTATAACAACCCTATCAGGTAAGGATTTCATTATTCTCATTTTACAGATAATACAGTGTGACATTATGGAATTTCTCTAAAGTCTTGTAGCTAGTAAGTGGTAGAACCAGAACTTAATTAAACTCAGGTGTACGTCTAAAAAACTCATGCTCTTAACCATGATAATTTTTTAAAAAATTTTCTTTTAGACTAGTATCTTTTAAAATAGACTTTTGTGCTTTTCTTTTTCACTTATGAATGACTTTTTGTGACATTAGATATCCTATATCATTTTTAATAAAAACTGAAAAACCAAACCCACTGCCATTGAGTCGATTCTGACTCATAGTGGCCCCCATTGGGTTTCCAAGGCTGTGAATCTTTATGGAAGCAGATTGCCTCATCTTTCTTCTGTGGAAGAGCTGATGGGTTTGAACCACTGATCTTTTGGTAAATATCATAGTCTGTTGTAAGGATAAGGAGCTCTGGTGGCATAACCAGAAGGTCATGGTTCAAACCCACCAGCTGCTCCATGGGAGGAGGATGAGGAAAGCTACTTCCTAAAGATTCACAGTCTTGGAAACCCACTGGGGATTGCTATGAGTCAGAATCAACTTGATGGCAGTGGGTGGGTTGTAAGAATAGGCCCTCACTTATTAGCTAAACATTTTATAGCTAAGTCTTGGGGCACATCTTTCATTACTTCTTTAACATAAATTGGCCTGGACCTTTTTGGACAATGAAAACTCCATAGTTGAAAGGTCAGTGGCTGACAGCTTGGTCAGTGAATTCTGAACAATGGCCACCTGATCAGCTTTGTGCACTGCCTATGGAAAAGTCCACTCCTGATTGATCTCTGTCCCACTGTGCTGCAGACAGGCGTTCTCGGGATGGAACGGATGTCAGCAGCAGACTGGGGAGGGAGAGAGCAAAGAAATCAGAATGCAGAGATTCCATCTCCACTGGCCCCTTTTATAACCACGTGGCATGGGTAGAGTTTCCTGAACGATAGAGCAATGTACACATGGCAAAGGAGATAGAAAGGAAAAGGCAGATGAATGTGGAGCATGCTAAACTCTTCTGAGCAAATGAGGTCCTGATTGCTAGAGAAAGCATCTTAGAAAAGGGCTGTAGGAAAATGGTGGGATGGATAAAGTGAGGAGCCCCAGTGTGTGTAAGGGCCAGTGTGAAGGCCTAGGCATGGGAAAAAGGAGGTAAAAAGGTCATCAAGGAGCAGATTTGCCAGGCTGGGATATGGGTCTGGCCCAAGGATTGATGAGAATAAGAAAGGCTTAATATAGATGTGTGTGTAGGGAGGGGAGGTTGCAGCTTAAATGAAGGAGGTTTGGTATAGGTGTTTGGGTGTGCAAGGGGACCACAGCTGTAGGTGGGCTCACTGTGGGAACATTCCTGGGGGGAGAGCAGCTTTGAACAGGGTCTGGGAAAGCAGACACTCTCTTCGTGGAGGGACTCATGGTGGGCAGCCAGCACTGACTATCATACTACCATTGACTCAGTATCAGGAGCTCCAGATCACAGCGGGGAGACATGGAGATGACCTGAAGAACAGCAAAATGGAGATCGCTGAGCTCAACCACAGCAACCAGAGGCTGCAGGCAGAAATTTCCAGTATCAAGAAGCAGGTGGGAAAGGTGTTCAGTGTAGGCTGACTGGCCACTCTGCATCCCACGTACAGGTTCCTGAAACTCAATCCCTGCATGATTTCTCCTCATGCCTGGTTTCCAAGCAGATCGAGCAGATGCACTCGGTCCTTTCGGATGCAGAGGAGAGAGGAGAGAGGAGAGAGGGCCCTCCAGGATGCACAGCAGAAGCTGCAGGACATGGAGGAGGCTCTGCAGCAGTCCAAGGGGGAGGTGACCCAGCTGCTGCGTGACTACCAGGAACTACTGCAAGTGAAGCTGACTCTGGATGTGGAGATGGCCACCTACCGCTAGCTGTTGGAGGGCGAGGAGAGCAGGTAGGCCTAGCGGGGAAGGGGGTGGGTGGCATCCAGGGCCAAAGCTCAGGGTGCACTCCTGCAACAGTGTGACTGTTTTGAGAGAAGACCATCTCCACTTTTCTGGGAAGATTTACTAATCCTATTGGATTATTACAAATTCCATTGGATTTACTAATCTAGTCCAGGGCAAGCATAAGCATGCAAATTAGAAGCAGAGGTGTGATGGTTGGCAAAGTCAGGAGAAGTCATTGTTCTCATTCTCCTGACTCTAAGCAGAATGTCAGAATGTCCCTATACCCCTATTAAAGGCATTGTAGCCAGGTGGTGATCCCCAATGCTGAAAGACTTCATAAAAATGCCTAAAGTCCCCTCTGGCCCCACTGGCTCCCACACTGAGGTTTGGGGACAGCTCTTCCTTCCCACTGACAGATGGATATCTCTGTTCCTGATGACGTAATGCCTAAGGCATTTGACTGCTAACCAGAAGGCTGGAGGTTCAAACCCACCAGCCACTCCTCAGAAGGGGAATCTACTTCTGTAGTGACACTACCTCAGAAACCCAAGGAGGAGTCATTATGAGTTGGATCTGACTTGAGGGCAGTGAGTTTGTTTTTTGGTTTTTGATGTCTTTAGGCCAGGGCTTTAAACAGGTTCATTCCAATGATTCTTATGTATACTGGTGATCTTGTTAAAATGTAGATTCTTATTAACTATGTCTGGGGGAGAAATTCTCAGCAGAATGCCAAACTGGAATGAACCGGTTTGAAGGCTTGCTTTAGTCTGCTGCCTTCCTGCCTTATAATTTTGTGGGTCTGATTGATGTGTGCTTTGGTTTTGTAGGATGTCAGGAGAGCTGCAGAGCCCAGTGTGCATCTGTAAGTAGCAGAGCCCAGGCATGGGGCTAACTGATGCTGGCAGGGGAGGGTCGAGTTGGGGTTGCCAGGGAACCAGTAGAAAACTGGCAGTCTGATATTTTAGCTTCTAGGGCTAAGAAATGAAAACCAAAATAAGCAAACTACAACCACAAAGCCTGGAAAAATTCATTAAAATAGCGTTATGATTTTAGTTTTATCTCTATTTTTATCTAAGTCCCTGGGTGGCACAAATGGTTAAGTACTTGACTATTAGCCAAAACGTTGGTGGTTTGAACCCACTCAGAGGTGCTTTGGAAGACAGGATCTGCTTCTGAAAGGTCACTGACTTTAAAACCCTATGGAGCAGTTCTATTCTGCACACATAGGGTCACCATGAACCAGAACTGACTCCAGAAGAAAAACTACGACAATCAGCTGAGGCTTAAAACTTCTGTTGTTTTTGTTGGGTGCCTTGAATCTTTTTCCACTCATAGTGACCTCATGTATAGAGCAGAAGTGTCCCACAGGGTTTTCTAGGTTGTAATCTTTATAGGAGCAGGTCACCAGGCCTTTTCCCCAGGAGCCACTGGGTGGGTTTGAACTGTGAACCTTTTGGTTATAGCCAAATGTGTAACAGTTTATGCCACCAAGGCTCTTTAGAATCTAACAACAAAAACTGAAAACGTGCTAAAGATACTCTTTATAGTCCGAAGATTTTTTTTTTTTTTTTTTTTTGGTAAATGGGAATACTTTCAACTCCCAGTGTATCTGTTTGCAAGTCAGATACTGCCAGTGATTAAGGTTGTAGGAGGCTAGTCCAGGGCAATGGGTGCAGACGGGTTTCCTCCCAGTCCTTCTGACTGCCTTTTTGGTTGCCCTCTACCCCACAGCGGTGCACACCAGTCACGTGACGGTCAGCGGCGGTGGTGGAGGCGGCAGTGGCGGTGGTTCTGGAGGTTCTGGTGGCGGCGGCAGCGGTGGTGGCAGCGGCAGCGGAGGGGGCAGTTTCGGCAAGGGCTCCCGAGGGGGCAGTGGAGGTGGTTACAGTAGCGGCGCGAGCTACGGAGGAAGCAGCAAAAGCAGTAAGAAGTACCAGGGCAGAAGAGGCGGCAGCTCCTCCCGCGTGCAGATCATCCAAACCTCCACCAACACCTCCCACAAAGACATTGTGGAGTAGTGGCACTGGCTGTGCCACGCGTCGCCTCTCAGACACCAGATACACCGTGTGGCTCTCTCCTGTCTTCTTGTCCCCATGCCCTTCCTGACCTCTTCTCATTTACCTTTTCCTGATTGGGTTTTTATCAATTTTGCCAATAAATCCAAATGCAGCTGGCAAAGCAGGAGGATAACCGGCCAATAGCAGATCTATCTTTGGAGGGCACCAGCTTGCAGTCAGAGTCACAGACACATCCTCAGTTAAGCCTGCTACTGTCCTTGTGGATACCCAGAGGTCCAGTTTCCAAAACAAACAAACAAGCAACAAACTCACTGCCTTCCAGTCGATTCTGACTCATAGGGACCCTTCCTGGGGTTTCCAAGGCTGTATCACTACAGAAGTAGATTACCCAGTCTTCCTTCCCAGGAGTGGCTGGTGGGTTTGAATCACCAGACTTCTGGTTAGCAGTCAAACACCTTAGGCACTATGCCACCAGAGCTCCCGAGGTCCAGTTTAGAAGAAGAGAACAAGCCTATAGCACATTTACTACGTAGATAATCAAGAGTTCTTTACCTGGACATTCCCTTTCCTGCACCTGGGCTTCTAGGAGACCAGTGATCCATCCCTCCAAAAACCTACCAAACCCACTGCCAATTTGGTTGATTCTGACTCATAGCATCTCTATAAGACAGAGTAAGAGTATAACTGCCCCCACAGAGTTTCCAAGGCTATAAATCTTCATGGAAACAGGCTACCACATCTTTCTCCCACAGAGTGGTTGGTGAGTAGTAAGTGCTGATCTTATGGTCAGCAGATGAGCTCTTTAACCCCTGGGCCACCAGGGGTCCATCTCTCAGGGACCACAAAATGGTTGCTTTAGGTGAGTACGTGGCTGCAAAACAAGCTAACTTGTTAAGGGGAAGCTCTGTAAAAGGGGCCAATTCCTGCCTCTTGTTCTGTAAGCCTCATATTTAATTTGATGGAGAGTGAAAATTTGCTGCTTACATGAAACACTTGGAAATCATATATGGTCCTGATTCTGAATCTCTATCTAAATAAACATTATCTGCTGTGTTAACAGTCTAAGGTGGGAATATTTCAGATGGCACTGGGGCATGAGAATTTGTCCACAGGGAGCACTAGTCTTAGAGTGGATGGAGAGGTTAATGGACATGCGTCAAGTTTGGCTTCTATCCCACTCCCTTCCGGCAGCTCCATTCTTTGGCAGCCTGCCCTTCCCTGAACTCTGTTCCATAATACCCTGCTGGGACTTGCCCAACTGGCTGGGCACATGAGCCCAACTCTGCTCTGTCCAGATGCCCGGGGCCTGAGGAGTCTAAGGATCTGTCTTGAGTCTTACGAAGTTTCCAGTCCTGAACCATTCCAGAAGCTGCTGGCAATTTGCAAATCAGTTTAATGCTTTTTTCTCAGATCTCTTAAGTCCCTTCTACCTCCTGTTTTCAGTGGCTTTCAGCAATTTGTGAGGACTTGAGTCCCAGTTGGGCCTTATGGAAGATGCTTGAGATGTGCTGGAGGAGACAGGAAAGGAAAAGTATCAGGCAAGTAACAGGCCTTGAGAGAGGGGTAGCTTTGCTTCTAAGACCTAGAGTCATTTTCATTTGCCTGCTGAGTCCTAACATAACCTCCAAGGCCATGATTCTCTTAGGGTTTCTGATGGGTTCAGAGTGGGGCCCTCGGGGAGTGACTTTATCATCATTTTCTGGTTGAAGGTTGTGCTTTGAAGAGCTTGGAATTTCTGCTGTGTCTATAATAAATTTTTCTATGATATCAAACTGCTGTTTGGTCAGGAGATGATTTATTTCTTCTTTTAATTTCTGCTGGCCTCTGAATGGATTTATTCATATTTAGGAAGCTACAACGTATTATTTTAATTTATTTATTTATTATTGTGATCTGGGTGAATGTGTGTAGAGCAAATTCATTTTCTATACAACAGTTCATATGTGTTTTGTTTCACGTTGTTGTTGTTAAGTGCCATCGAGTCGTTTCCGACTCATAGCGACCCCATGCACAGCAGAACGAAACACTGCCCGATCCCGCGCCAGCCCCACA